TGCGCTCACATCACATCACAAAATCAAATGTATGAAATAAAAAATAAAATAAAATATAATGAAATATAATAAGATAACGTGTTAAATGGGTGGAAATCCCTAGATCAATGTTTAAATTAACACTCACGCATTGACTCTGTCGGCTATGTTTTGCCATGCATGCTCCCTTTCTTTTGCAGCTGAGGCTGTGTTACTTTTTTCCCGCAAAATTTGCATGTTATCGGCATATACTGCCATCAGAATTTCGGCCTGAAGCGCTGTAAGATACATTGACCGCGCCTTCTTTCCCTCCGTCTCCATGGTGACTCGCTTAATCTGTGCTCCACTAATCAGGGCTTTATGTATCCTCGTGCGCGCGCTTAACTTGGGGTTAAAGCAACTCCGCGTTGATTGAACTAATTGTTATCAGCCTTTCTGAAACCGAATATTCCGAGTTGGACAGTTCGGGGTTACTCAACCCTGAGTATCATTTTTCACTCTGAGTTTTCTAAACCGGCTTCCTGAAATAGGGCCCTGCTTGTCCAAAGTGAACCGTGATGAAAAGATCAATTCATACAGAAGTGAAGCAGGAGTATCAGTCATGGACGCACGAGTTTGTTTGTTTTGTGGAACCACAAGGGAGCCTGGAGTGACTGGAGCTCCACTGGATCATCACCAGTAGGAAGAAAAAAAAAACCACCACGTGGAACTTTTTTGTAGAATCGTTGCAAATTTTCCAGCACACAGTGGATGTGATCTGGGAATGCAGTTTCTTGCAACGTGTACTCAGATATTTATGCAATACTTATGTAAGAATGTTGTTTGTTGACTTCAGCTCAGCATTCAGTACAGGCATTCCCTCCAAGCTGATCACCAAACTTGTGGATTTTGGACTCAGCAACTCCAGGCGACCATGGTTCAGGGGATTGGGAAGCTCATCTATAACTGGAAGGTTGCCGGTTTGATCCCCCTGGTCGTTGTGTCCTTAGACAAGACGCTATATAAATGTAATCCATTATTATTATCATTATTATTATTATTATCTGTACCTGGATCATGGACTTTCTGACCAACAGACCCTGGCATGTAAGGTCAGGCTATAACTGCTCTACCACCATCACACTCAACACTGGCACTCCACAGGGCTGTGTGCTGAGCCCGTTCCTCTATGACTGCAGACCTCGGTCCGGATCCAACTCCATCATCCAGTCTGCAGATGACACCGCGGTGACTGTCTCATCAGTGACAATGATGAGTCTGCTACAGGGAAGAGGTAAAGCACCTAGCTGTGTGGTGCTGACAATAACCTGCTCCTGAATACCAGCAAAACCAAAGAGCTCATTGTGGACTTCAGGAGGGAGAACAGAGACCCCCATGTCCCCATCTACATAAATGGCACAGCTGTTGAATGGGTCTCCAGCTTCAAGTTCTTGGGGACCCACATCTCTGAGAATCTGTCCTGGTCAACTGACACCTCCAGCCTGGTCAAGAAGGCCCATCAGCGCCTTTTTTTCCTTGAGGACACTGAAGAAGAACCACCTGTCTACTGACATACTGGTTAACTTCTACCACTATGTGATAGAGAGCATCCTGACCAACTGTGTCACACTCTGGTATGGGAACTGTTGCTGGCCACAAGGCACTGCAGCGGGTTGGGCAGTTTTCACCACAGGGCCTCCACTTCCTGCCATTGAGGATGTCCACAAGAAGAGATGTCTATGCCGAGCACGCATCATTCTCAGGGACTCCTCTCATCCTGCCAATAAACTCCTCCAGCTCCTCCCCCCCAGAAGGTGCTACAGGAGCCTTCAGACTAAAACCAGCAGGTTTAGGAACAGCTCCTCCCCCACAGCTGTCACCCTACTGAACTCAGCCCCCGCTGAACCTTTCCATCCACACTCACTGAACCCTTCTACACTCCTCCTCCCAGTGACCATGATTTCATTCTCAACATTGTTACGTTCTAAGTCTAGGCGTGTCTTGAACGCAACACAACATTGGCCCACCACACTCCACCCAAAACAAGAACCCAAACAATAGTATCTTTTAAAATGCTAAGCAGCCATTTATTTGCTTCAGCAGTGAGCAGTGCCGAAAATAAACAAAACTCCCTAATGGTCCCTACGCTTTCCTACCCAAAATGAAAAACCAAACAAAAGACAATTCACTTACCTAACTCGCTACATGAAAAACAGGAGAAAACAAAAATGGCTTCTCACGCCTACTAGGCTGCTGCAGTGAACAATATATAAATCAAATTCAAATCAAATTCAAATTCAAATTTTATTTGTCACACACACACAACCATACACAGTATGACATGGGGGTGAAATGCTTGTAGCTGTACAATGCCCGACCATTAAATGACAGAAGAAAAGTTTTACAATATTTACAATTTACTACAAAAATTTACAAATTAACTTAGGAATTTACAGTAAAGAATGTGCAAATAGCAGAAGAGATTATAAAGATAAGGATTATAAATTATAGGAATTATAGAATTATAGGAAATGTGTGGTGGTGCGTGTGGTGACGTGTGTGAGAGTCCAGTCTTATAGTGACGTGTTTGGGAGAGTGGTGGAAAAAATACAAGGTGAAAAAAAAAATACTCAATTGCTACTTTACAAATCTATTTACAGCTATATACAAAACTACGATACCAACACCACAATGATCACGACGCATGACAAACTGAAACACAGGGCTTAAATACATAGAGGGAGCAATCAGGGAACGGACAACAGGAGGGAAACACAGCTGGGGCAAATCAGAACTGACGAGACAAGGAAGCGTAAACTGAACACACTGAGATAAGACAGACCTTCAAAGTAAAACAGGAAACACATAACAGTCACGCCTAACACAAAACACTGACAACATTGGATCGTAACAACATTCACCACATGCTCACATTGGTTACTGCTATAGTTTTACGACACTGACAGTCTCTGTTATAGTGCCTACACCAGGGGTGCCCAATCCCGGTCCTCGAGAGCTACCGTCCTGCAGCTTTTAGATGCATCCTTGTTCCCACACACCTGAATCAAATGAATGGCTTGTTATCAGGCCTTTGCCAAACATGATGGCATGCTGAAGAGATCAAACCATTTGATTCAGCTGTGTTGGAGTAGGGATGCATCTAAAAGCTGCAGGATAGTAGCTCTCGAGGACCGGGATTGGGCACACCTGGCCTACACTGTTCACTGTTACAGTCTGTTCAGAGAGCTACGCTTCCACTGCTGTAGATATATTCATAGCACTCTGTAGATCTGTTTACCTCACACCGATACATCTGCATATATGTAGCACATCTGTATATTTGTTCACAGTACACCTGTATATCTGCCCATCTGTACAGCAATACAGAACATCTGTATGCTACACCATCTGTATATCTGTACATATGTATACAACAGTACATCTGTATATCTGCTCTCTACTGAACTTATACATAATCTGCTCTTATTGCACTTACTGATTAGATGCAAACTGTATTTTGTTACCCTGTATTTAGACATGTGTAATGACAAACGTTGAATTCTAAATGCTATCCTAAACATTTAAACAGCTACAGGAGAAGTTTTTAGAAGACCAGTAAAGAGAGCATGGAGGCAGATGGAGGATGCAAAGTCCACTGAATCTACACACTTCCTGTTTCCACCTCATCCTTCCAGTGCTTTACTACTATGGGCTCAATTGTGGTCATAAATATTTTGTACTTGTAAATCAGTTTTGTACTTGTAAATCAGGATTTGTGTGTGTAAAAAAGATTTGTGTGTGGACTTATCCAAAAAATACGTGTGAAAGTCTGCACTAAACTTTCAAGTTACAAGTACGAATTTTGAGCCTATTTTTCTTCCTCTCATCTGATTGGCCAATGTCATGTCAATCACAAATTTAACTATCCAATCAGAGAACACGATTGCGTGTCCCGCGAAAAATTGGCAACACAAAAAAAGAGAAATGAAATGACTATTTAGTGTATATCAATGTGTGTGTCTCCTATATGATATATGCAAGTGACATTTTTTACTGTAACAGCGATTCATACAGGAAAATAATGACCAATGACCGCAGCCGCGTTGTACATTTATTTCAGTTTCAATATTTTTTTCGGTTTCATGTCAAGGTGGCATTGTTCTGATCCCATACACACACAAATCCTGATTTACAAGTACAAAATATTTATGACCACAATTTGAGCCCATATACTCACTCTACCACAGCTGCCTTTGAACTTGCCTGGGCCAGGTCTGAGTCCAGCTTTGCTACTCCTGCCAGGTCACATGACACAGGGGTGTGGTCTGATGTCAGCAGGCAGGTCAGTGGAGCCCTCTGGTGATGGATATATGGCAGTGAAGGAGGAGGAGGCCTGAGAACATACAGCAGGCTTAACTAGCAGGACAAAGTAGCATGTAGTACTTGAAGGAGTCATCACAGCCAATCAGCTTCCATTTTCAGGAAAATGGAACATCACATAAATATTTCTCTTCTTTGATTTTCATCAATGTATTTCCTTTGATAGATTTTCCGTCAACACTTCTGCTTGATCAGAAGTTCATAGGCAGTTCCTGTCACTCTACAATAAAACAATGTAAAGGCTGCCCTCTCTGCCCTCCCACTAGCTGACACAAGTAAACTGTGCTAAGATGCTCTACATGGACTAAGGTTCTTGGCCACACACATATAGATTTAGTTAGCTGTAGAAATCCATGCCATGAAGCTCCCAGCGCACATTTTTGATGCTTCTGTCTGTGGAAAAGCAGGTTTGGAGCTCTGCAGAGCCTTGGTGACTTTTACTGACTATGCACCCCTACCCATTTATTATGAACTAACAGCACAACGGTTTGTGCTTTTTTCTATAATACACTTGTATGATTTAGATTTGTACTTATGTGGCAGCTATTCACTGACCTGACAAAGTTATTTTCCATAAAAACTAAAAGTGTTGAAATTCTCAGAAAATGAATGAGACGTGCATGCAATTTGACATATTTTATTGTTTTCTGTGTGAAGTTTTGATGTGTATGTGAAAAACACAATTTTGAAAACACAGGAAAAAGACCTCAAGACATGTTTTCCTTTACTTTCTATGAAACAAAAATTCCCACCAAGGCTTTTCAGTGTGAAATTTAGTGTATAGAAAATACCTGTGCCAGGTTGTCTCCATCTAGTGGTGAACATGGCCTCACCACTACATCAGGTGAGCTTTTCACTGTGCACAGTGACACAAAAGTCATTTAACAATTTTAAAAAAAGCAATGTTACAGATTCAGTAAGAATTGAAGTTTATCATAATCCTTCAAGTTTCACTCAGTAACAGCAGCTTTTTAATATTATTGGCTATAGTTTAGAGTCACATTTATATGAAATGTCAAACAATCACAGAGTGACACTGAACTAAACAATCAATGCCATGTGAGTTGTTCTTGTTTGTTCTTTATCTCAGATTTATTGTAAGCAGCGGGAGTAGAAGCTAAAGAAAAATAGTAAAGACATGAATGAATCTCTGCTCTTACAGCTTTTATTGTGCCATAATGTCTGCTTTGAAACCGTCCTCTTGCTCGTCTCTTGGATGCTCACCTCTTCTTCACCTGTTCCTTTCACCAAACTGCTGCACTCTCGTTCTCTGCTCTCGCCTCCTCTTCTGGTTATAATTAGGATGCAGTCAGCATGTGCCAAACAAACTCCCCCCAAATCGATCATGTTTGATATGATGATGACGTTTTTAACATCTTATTTATGCACTTGTTGGGTGGGAAAGAGTAAACAAAGATGGGGCATAGAAGCAGAACTGATACGTGTGGAGGGACAGTAACTGTGTGTGTATGTGTAAGCATTTAAACACTGCAGAGAGTCAAATTAACAGTAACACTATTTTGTCTAAGTCCGCCATTGTAGAAATTCATTTCACCGAAACAATAACATGGCGCACAATGTGACAATAAACGTATAAAACACAAATTCTTACCTAGCAGGAGAATAAATAATCAGTATTTTAAGGCTACTGCATGTATAGATGTCACTGCTGGCTCACATAAGCTAGCTCTGAGACCCGCCAGAGTTTACGCCACAGTTGACTGTCGCGAAAGAGTCGTAAATCACCGGCATTGTAAAACTTAAAATGATTCCAGGGCATGTTATAAAACACCCAATAGATGTACTGGATATTAAACGGTATCAAACGACTAAATGAACACAGGGTTACAATTACATGCTCACATCGTCACATCGAGAGTTTATTCATTAATCATCAGAGTTCAACAATGTTACATCCAGTTGAAAACAGCTTCACTAACGCCAGCAAAACAGGCTAACAGTATATAAGAGCACAGAAACAGCCGTGCTTATCGACAGCTCGACATATCCTCAACAACTCACCTCAGTATGTGTAACCCGTTCATGTGTTACGCCTGTTGTTCTTGCGTTGTGTTCTGGTGTGAAAGTAAGAGGCAGGAGACAGTACTGGGTCTTTGGCTCTTTACTGCACATCTGCAACACAGAAACATGTGTCTGATCTGTGTGTGTCACGCGACTGCCAGTACACCTCTCCTCCGGCCATGTTGAAAGGAGCTGTGTCTGCAGCTTCATTAACACTACAATAATATAATGAATCAAATACAACAAATTGTTTTAAAACATTAACTTAAGCTCTCAAAAACAAAAAGCACAAAATAAATAATATGTCACTGAAAAAAACATCAAAAACAACTTATAAGAACAATAAACAAAATAATTCAAAAACAAATAAACAGTCAGATAAATACAATTCAATAACCAGGACCCAATATTCTGGTACTTATAGTTCAAACATTATACTTCAGTACAATTATATTAATAACCGCCATCTAACAGGCAGTACAACACTGTACTTATAAAAACAATGAATGAAAGACAGCATCTCCAAAACATAAGAACATCTCCATACCTGCAACACAGAAATATGTGTCTGATCTGTGTGTGTCACGCGACTGCCAGTACACCTCTCCTGACGAAGGAAAAAAGAGTGCATGCTGTTAAAAAAAGACTGCCGCGAGTAGCCGCTAGCAATCAGGCTAACTTAGCATGCTAGCATTTTAGCTGCGTTCTCGGCTAAAACTCATAAGCGTATATTAGTGAACTCCGCCCTCCACAAAACTTATCCCGAATGAGTCTCTTAATGACAAATAAAAACGCGGCGGTTTGGCTGTATTCACATTGCAGCTTGGGATCTGAACAAACTTTAATTAGCTGCGAGCAACGTGGCAGTGACTTACCTCCGGCCATGCTGAAAGGAGCTGTGACCGGGGCACACATGCACGCGCCTACGTCACCACGCAGCGCACACACACATGAACGCACTATACACATATGCAGCATATTTATATTACTTGGTTTTAGAGTTGGAGTATTTACATATTGATCTGAAATATTTTGCTGCTGAGCAGCAGAGTTCCAAAGCGTCCCCCTGTAACCATGGTTACGCAGATGCATTCCGACTGTCACGTCACCGAGGAGAACCTGTTTCAAATGTATACCTGGATCAACCTGCAATCAGTTTGAAAAGTTTTCTGCTGAGATCCGCAGCTCGACTTCCTGGCACCCCGGGATAAGATGAGTTGCTGTGTTTTTCACGGAGAAAAAATAACGTCAGTGTTAGATGAAAAAAAAAAGATGCAAGCAGAAGAGGACAGCAGATTGAGAAGAGATTTATTCAAACGGTAAGGAGCTTCTAACAAGTGATATCTGATAAGCTTAAAACTTAAATCTTAAATCTAATGTCCAGATTCATGCTAAACTTTTCTGATTACTCCGTGTATCTGCACCGTTAGACTTTTCATCGCCACTTTACGGTAACATACTGGCGTCACTGCTGCCAGCGTCATATCGTGACGCCGTGTTACGGTAGCTTACCTTTCTGCAGGATGATACCGTTTTTTGCTGGTGTGGTATAATACTCTTGGACAAATTATGGTAACGCACCGTAGCCTTTTTTACGGTATCTCACTGGCGACAGTTATGTCAGTGAGATACCGTTATGTCGTTATGTCGTAAATTACGTCAACAAAGTAACATCATACTGTGATTAATAAATTGGTATACTACCGTTTATTCACGGTATGTCACTGTAAGCCCGCTGCAAGGTAATAAACTGCAATATATTAACCAGTAACTTACCGTTGGTACGCATCATCAGTACCAAAAATATTCATCTCTGCTAGAGGACACCGTGTCCTAACAGGCGGTCATTTACTCTTTTAAAAGGTCGTAATTTACCGTAATTTCAGTTAACAGTAACATACTGTAAGAGACTGGAGGGTTCCAAAAAAGTTGGATGGATGGATACACACACACACACACACACACACACACACACACACACACACACACACACACACACACACAAAATATAATTCATGTGCTTTACACCACTTTATTTCAATTCTGATTCTTCCCTGCTGAAATGCACATTTCCAAAATCAAAAACTGAAAAGAACTGAAAACATATTTTCATTGAGGAAGCACTTGTTTTTACTAAACCATGTAATCCATTATTTTCTCAGATGGTTGTACAAACAATAACAATATTATGTCATATCCATATCATGGCAGACAACACATGCTCAAGTGTTGGGTTTCCTTACTTATATTTTGTAGGGTCTCAAACCTACAATGTGAAGTGCCTTGGCATTCATTTTGTTGGCACCATACAAACAAACTGAATTGTAATGGATATAATATCAAGCCCCACACGTCTGCCTTTATATACACTTTGTCCAAAATACTGGCTCACACGACCAAATCATTGCACAAAACAGGGTCCACAAGGACATGGATGAGCGTGTGTGGTGTGAAGGAACTTGACTGACCTGGACTGAACCCTGATCTTGCTTTGTGGACTGAGTTCATTGATTTGTAGGGTGAGCCAATACATGTGACAATTAAAGTGTAAGTAGCTGAAATAATTTTTAACAAACGGGTAAAAGAAGGTTAGCACTGTTGCCACACAGCAAGAAGGTCCTGAGTTCAATTCCACCATCAGGTCTTTCTGTGTGGAGTTTGCATGTTCTCCCCGTGTTTGCGTGGGTTCTCTCCGGGTACTCCAGCTTCCTCCCACCGTCCAAAGACATGCAGCTTGTGGGGATAGGTTAATTGGATAATACAAATTGCCACTAGGTGTGAATGTGTGAGTGAATGTGAGTGTGAATGGTTGTCTGTCCCTGTGTGTTGGCCCTGCGACAGACTGGCGACCTGTCCAGGGTGTACCCCGCCTTTCGCCCTATGACAGCTGGGATAGGCTCCGGCGCCCCCCGCGACCCTGAAAAAGGATAAGCGGAAGTGAATGGATGGATGGATGGGTAAAAGAAGGGAAAAAAATCAAAACTGTTGCACTCAAAAAAACCTATTGGACAGAGACAGCGTCTTGCAAGATGGCGAGAGAGCTTGTCTTCATTGTTGCTCGTCTTGTGTAAATGTCCAGAAAGCATGGGCCATGGATCATCTGTGGAGACATGGGTAACAACACATTGGTCACTTAAATTATACAAGAAATTTACTAATTTCCCTAATTTGAAGTTCTCCACTCAAATTCAGTAAGCCACTGGAGGAAAGTTGTGACATGAGGGTTAATGTGAACAACCTTTCGCTTCACAGTGGTCCCAGTCTTCCTGCTTGTCCCAACCTTGGAGGTACATTTTGTTCCCTCTTCAGGGTTTATCCTTACAAAAAACCTTGCACCCGCTGACTCCTGGTATTCCAGGTTCAATACATAGAATGAACCAAAGAAGACTGACATTGCATCAGCACAGGTGTTCTCTTTGTCCAGCTCAACAATTACACGCCCCTCTGCACTCACCATCCAGCAGGTGGCGGTCATTGAACTTTGTCCTTAAATGTATAGGGGCAACATGTTGTCATTATGCAACATAAAATAATTTCAATACTTCACTTCTTCACACTGTCTAGATAGTCATAAAGCAAATACCTACGTACAGTTAATTATTAATGGCCTTGTGTACATAGGTCCATTTTAACATATTATAATTGTATATAATTGGGAATTATTCTGCACATTAAACACACCTAACAAAGAGTCAGCCCAGTTAAAGTACCGGAGGTGAATCAACTGTATGGTTATTTTGGAGTTTATAGTTTGTGCTGCTGTTAAACTTTACAGTATTGACTTCAGTATTTCTGCTGTTGGTGTAGCTAGACTACTGTTGATCAGTAATATGTAATGTGAAATTTGATATTGTTACTTTGCTGGATTCACTGAGACACATGTCCAACAACCTTGGTTTATAAAGGAAATTACAGAAATTTGAGCTAACAAAACAGAGACTGGATACCTGTGTCCACAAAAAGCTCCTGTGCCAAACAGAAATTTTAATATGGTCTAATCAGCTCTATGTCATAAATGACTTCTTACCAAGCATAATCAGCCTTGGGGTGCTTGGCAGGCTTTTAACATGCAAACTGAACAATATAAATTTGTGTGCACTGAAGCCACAAAATTTAGAAATACACAGTTGCAAAAACTTCAGTGACCAATTACCTTTCCTGAATGACATATTCAATGCAAAAAATAAGAGTATTGTCAATAGGGACCAATTCCCAGTTTTTACATGATCAAAATTATTCACAAAAGGCTTCAATAAACAGAAAATGTGTGCCAACAAGAGAACAGTGCACAAAAATGAAAAGATATTTGAGCTCGACGCTTTAATGGGTTTAACATGACCGTACAGGTAGTACAAGCACACCTGAAAACACTGACCAGCTAACAGCTTTAAGCATTTGGGCGCAACCTCGGTAGTTCACCGATTCACCTGTTGCAAACGTCCAAGTTTCTATCAAGTCTCATAAATCCATCGGCAAATTACCTAACTAGTCTTTTGAGTCTCCACATTCAGAGATATTGACAATTTGTCTTTAAATGAAAATATCCTGGTAGGGTAGCTTAAAAGTCAAAACAAACAGTACTAAGAACGCATTTCGGACTTCTCTCGAATAAGTGAAAAAAACACTTACCTTCAGACTGATTAGCAGGTTCCGATCCAACTTTAATGTGTCCCATGTCAGTCCGTTTTAGGGAAAAAGTGTTAAGTGGTTTCATTTAATTTTGAGATACTCCCGCATGGACGAGCAGCAATTTGGAGTCTAGCAGAGTTACCACGAATAGCATACGATCTTCAGATATAATCCAATCAACCTTGTATTTAACCCGATTGAACATCCAGTTACCTCTGACTACTTCTAAGTTGCACATGTTAACGGTCTCATCATCACTCTGTGCTGCAGCGAACTGTATCTGTGGCACAGAATATTTGATGGCCATGTCGTTCTCCTGCTTTGCAGCTTTTTTTGAGTCTGAATTGCGGCTTAAACGTGCAAAACTAAGAGAAGCAGATCAATATTTTCTTCTTGTTGTTATTTAATGGTGGTTGGCAACCAGCGAAAGGAGCATTAACCACCTCGAGCACTATTTTCTATCCCCAGTGTTGTTTTGAAAGTGAATACCCAACGTGTGCGTCATACGTCACGTTGTACGTCAGGTGAAGGTGTGGTGTCGGCTATCGCACCTGTCGCATTACAAAGCTTTAAAAACGTAACAATCCAACACAACACAACACGCTAAACTGTGATAATGTGTTACATTATCACTGAAGGAAACGGCTTCCAGGGCCTAATCCGTGGATCGGCTTCCTCCGAGGCGTGGACGTCTATCAGCAGAGAATGTACCTTAGTCTGTAACACAGTCAAATATATTCTCAAGTAATATTCAAGCATGCCATTCAGCGTGTTAGTACGAGCTCGGGAGCAGCTTGGCAGAACAAGAAAACAGAGACTGCTTCAGGTTGTCTTCCCAAATTGACTCAACTTTATTCACAAGTACAACAGTTTATATAGAGGGACAAATTCATGAGTCAGCAGATTCTCAGTTTAAACCAGTACAGACCAAGATAAGGGAGCGTCTTTCTGCCCTTGGGTGAAGAAGCATCCTTTGTATAGTGTATCAGTTCAGCTACAATTGTGATTATCTCAGCGACATATTTTCAAGGCACGAAATAAAGAGTTCTTTCATTAGTGAATTCTGAAACAAACCATCTGGCCTTCAACAGGCGTCTCCTAAAAGATTAAGAAACTAATGTAGCTGAGGGAGTGATCTCTGTGGTATTTCAACCTTGTACCAGCCTGTGATTCTCACACATCAATTCTTGGGTCAAAGAGAAAATAACTAAAACAAAGGGGCCTTATTGAATGACAGAGTTTTCCTGCATAATGTCACTATAAAACAATATCCAGTAAATGCTCCCATGGTACTAAAATACCTAACAGTTCCCCTCTTTTAT